ATTTAAAAATAATTAGTTTTAAAGTTATAATAATAATGAAAAATCTTTGTGAAAAATATTTAAGCTACGGTAATACTGTTCTTCAGTTATGTTATAGTTAAAACTGTATATAACAACATTTCACTATAAAAGAAGAGAAAGCTCGTGATTATTTTTCTCTCTTTTTTTTTTTGATTTGAACATTTCTTCAACATTTTTCTTTAAACGAAATGACATGGATTTCGATTAAAATAAAGGTAAATTCGCGACATATTCTTATTAAAGAAAATATTTCAAGAATTATATAAAATTTGAAGTATAATTATATTATTAACTTCATCAATCGAAAATCAAAAGTCAAAAAAGCTTAAATATTTATGATAACTCTCGTCGAATTTGAATATAATTAGAAAACCATTTTATCATTCTTAAAGACTTCAAATTTGCGAATAAATTAATACGTTTAATTTTACAGATGGAGAAATCGTGGGGCATCCGCGATTGAGATTAATAGGCGATCAGAGCACAGGAGTTTACAATCTTCAGATCACACAGGCTTCTTTGACCGACGATGGGGAATATCAGTGCCAAGTTGGACCATATTTGCGCATTAAATCGATCCGTGCCAACGCTCATCTCACCGTCATCTGTGAGTACTCATTCGCCATTTTTCTTTTCGTTTATATATATATGAAACTTTAAATCTCGTATATATTTTTTTTAAAAATCAACGGATCAGATTTCGATTCTTTTTTTTTTTTCAATTACGATCAATTTCTTGATTTATGTATATATATATATAAAGAATTGAATTTCGCGAAAAAGAAACGAAATGAACGGAAGAACAGAGAGATTGGAAAATTTGATTTGAAAAGTTGGTCGAGTTGGAGATTTATGCTGTAATGTAATTTTCGTGATTCCGGGAAAAAAGTTTGGATCTTGAGGGGAGAGGGGAGGGGGCAGTGGGGGAAGTGTTAAATTAAAGAGCATTCTAAAGTGATTAAAAGTTTCCTTGGCTTTCTCGAAAGCTCGCTCTTTTTTACATGAACGATCATTTTCCTGGGAAAGATCCCTTCTTTAAATAATATTTTCTTTAAAACAACTTTTTTCTTCCGTTGCTTGTTTCTTGGAAAACGATTCGATAACGTTAATCTCATTCACACTTTTTATTGAAATAAATTTTTTTCCCCATAAATTCGAACGGAAAGTTAACAATGGAAAATTCTTAATATTCCAATATAAATCTATAATATAATCTAATAAGTATAAGTCTTATAAAATTATGACAAAAATTTAGATACTTAAGAACATCATAAATCTTGCAGGATCTCAAGCTAAAGATCCATAAAGTTTCAAACGAGATTATTAAAGTTCTTCTTGGATTTTCCTAAAATTTACCGTTTCTTGTGTATCCAGAAATAATTTCAGAAACACACTGATACTCGACAATATTATTTTTCAACGTTGAACACAATATCCATAAAATAATAAAAGAAAAAAAAAAAATCTCAAAAAGTTTCACAATAAAGATTCGAAAAGAATCTTTCCTCTTCACAACAATTAAACAATTCCACATCAAAAAATTCTCATAATAGAAGAAGAAGACAAACTTTCAAAAGTAAATTCTCTTTCTATCATCCACCTTTCTTTCTCTTCTTCGCGAGAGAAAAGCAAAAGAATCAATAGTGTAAGACAAGAGAGAACAAATTCGAAGAAAAACTTTCACAACGGTCTCGAAAAGAGGTTTCTCGATCTCTCTGCTCGAGACATCGTTTTCCAAAACTCTCGAGCCAACTTCTGACCAGATATGCGTATGTGTGTGTATGTGTATATGTGCTCGCATCTCGAAGGTTCGCGCTACCCCCGCCGCTAATCACGGTTTACCACCCTCGTCCCAAGACTTCTCAAAGTTAAGTTTCGGCCGGGAAATGTCTTTGTTCAAAGCGGCAAGTTGACCGCATCACCGAGCAACGGTGATTGTATCGAACTTTCCGCCTAGTTCACGCCGACTATTCGAACCTCCGGATTCATCGAGGCGTTCTTAATAACGCGAGATAGGCGGCTATTGTTCCAAGAACCGCCCTGTATGTACGATTTGTGTCGGTGTCATGAAATTCGTGAATAGCGGGATCGAGACAAGGTAAATGTAAATGAGTTTTCTGTGTATTTGGAAATTTTATCTGTGTTTAATTTAAGATTGATTGGGTAATTTTGAGTGTTTTTTTTCAAGGTGCTTTTTTTTTCCTCTCCTGATTCGCGATCTTGAGATTTGTGTTTTCTTTACGAGGGTGATTTTATTTTATGAAGAAGGCTAAGGAAAATAGGAAAGTCTTGGGTTTTATAGTTTCTTTTGAAAAGATTTTGGATGATGAGATGAGAAGATGGAGATTCGAGTAAGTTAAATTTGATTGGTTAAATTATAAGTTTGAGCGACTCGTAAGGAATTTTATTTTTTTATTTTAATTTATTGCTTTCTTAAATCCTTCTAGTTATTGTAGTACTATAAATTTATGTATTTTTAAAAATAGGAGTAAATTCTTTCCTTAAAATTGGCGTGTGACATATATCAGATGCACAAAATTTAATAAAATCTATTTTTTAATTCCATAAAAAAATAGAAATAAAAAGAAATGAATAGAAATAACAAATATGAATCGAATAAGTAAATCCTATTGATATTATTTCTTATTTTCATTTTTATAATAATTTCAATTACTACACGCTTAAATTATAGGTTAAATATTTTATTAATTTTTATCTTGGATACCTTTAAATTTGCTCAATTTTACAGGCAATCTTTCAAGTAGTTGATGAAATGAAAAAAAAAACACACACACCCACACAAATAAAAATTTTATCGATAATATTTCACTTATAAACTGAACATCCGTTTACATCCGACATACCGTTTAAAATTTCCGCCTCGAAAGAAGCGAGAAGAGGAAGAGGAAGATGTAAGAAATGTCCCAAGGCGACAAGGAAGCATCTTCCTAGATCGTACCATCCCGTGGTCGCTCTTTCAAGGCGTCTCTAGTTCCACTTTCTTCCTCCTCTTTTTTTTTTTTTTTTTTTTT